ATCTCTAAGTAAACAATAAATCCCTGGTCACTCATTAGTGTTAATCATGGCTCTCATCTGCATTCAGCTAAATACAGAGAGGCAGGACCAATGCTTTCCTGATGAGTTGCTTTCAAAGAAAAGGATGTTCTGCTATTGTCTGCCAGCTCGCCTTGGGTGGATGTCCTTTTGCAGGTCTCCTCTAACCGTACAGTGCACGGCATGCAACGTGCCAAGCCTTCTGGACAGCCAGAACAAAGGCAACCAGAGCCAAACTGTTCATCTAAATAAAGCAACAAACATCACAATAAGAGGAGCCACTGTATAACAAATCCAATCTGCTCAATGTATAAAGCTCCGTGGTTTCTACGGGCAAGCTTCCACGCTCAGGCCCTTTACTTGTTCCCTTTTAATTCAAATTCTCTTGGACAGATGACTCGTCAAGTTTATTCTGAACACTACTGTAGCTACTTACAATTGATTCCTGTTGTGTGTGAAGGCAAACAAGTAATTTTATTGTTTTCCTTGAAGTGTTTTTGTTAAAAATTCAAATACTCTGATTTCTCCCTCTCTTGTACTTCCTCTACACCAACTGAAATTCCGTTTTTGTTGCTTGTTGTTCCCCCCCTAACTATGGAAACTAGAGGATTTATGGCTCTATCAAAAGAGAAGAAAGAGTGAAATTCCAACAACTGAAAAGCAAAAAACTTCCAGTCTAAACAAACTGGCACTTTTTATTTGCTGACACCTATCAGGCTCTGGTGTCTAGTGAATCTCTAGCAGGAAGGATGTTTCTGTTAAAGACTCAGCACCTGCTGCTACTAAAATTTCAGTAACACCTCAGACACTACCTCAACAGTCTCCACACAAAGCCTTGGGAGGACAAATCTTTGCATTCCTGTTGTTCCCTGTAACACAAGACAGAAGGACCAGCAACCCATACATGCACATGTGGGCTTGCTCCAAAGGCATCTGGAAGTGTTATAAAGCAGAAGAGGACACTAATCAGGTGTGAAAACACTATGTGGGCCATCTTTAATAACATCAAAACTGGATGACTGAAGACAAGAGTAAAAAGACATGCATGTGTTAATTTTAAGGTTCAGGGTGACATCTGGAAGAAAGGTCTACTGTACTTGGCCGATGGGATGTCTGTGTAAGTTACGGCCACAGTCCAGCTATGCGCTTCGCCACCATGCGGGTAGGCAGTAGGACTCAAATGACCATCTAGATTAAGATGACTTGGGTCTTCTGCTAATTGAGAAGCAACTACATGGGTGTTCTCAGTCTAATCTGTGTCACATTGACCAGTTTTATCATCTGTGAAAAAGAGGCATTTATTTTAGCAGTGGTAGGCTGGCAGAACTATCTGGCCTGCTAGGCTACACAGGGAACCTGTGTTTGTTGTCGTCCCCTGCCTGGGTGGGCAGGCTGAGCTGGCTCTCTGTGTCCAATACAAAATTACTAATTCTGTGGAAATGCAGAATATTCATACGCCAGGAAACGGGATCCTACGGAGCCAGACCCTTTTAGTTTCAGGAGTAGAAGTCAAACTAGTGTTAAGGACAATTCTCAAGTCAAACTGTTCTACTAAACACATGCTTCCCCCATCTCTCTGCACTCTGTAAGAAAACAAATCATCAACATCTAACATAAACATTTGCTATTTTCTATGAGTGTTTTTGTGTTGTGCTCCACTCAGGCTGAAGAATTTCAGGCTCCCTTCACAGTCAGTATCAAGCACAGTGGCAGCTGGTGGCTCACTTTGGCCCAAGAGCAGGTGATGAGAAGAAAGCATTCCCCTACCAGTTAGGGCCTTAATCCTCATCTTGTGTTGTCCCCACATCCCCCCATACGAGGATGCAGCGTATCACCATCAGCTGTGCTCCTCCTGAGTATAAATTTGCTGTTGTCTGCCATTCAGTGCTGCTTCGAGCTGGTTCTGGATGGGGTTCCAGATGCTAGCTTTCATCTTGAGCCTGAACACCACCATTTCATTCTTGTTTACAGGCAGTTTTATTTTCTAGCTTTTATCTGCCTTCGTGAAACATAGAAGTTTGTGTGATTTTTCCTTCCGAGAAAGCGTAATAACACTGTAAGCTCCAGCAATACTGTCTAATACCAACACAGTTGAAATTTGCACAAGTTAGGAGGCTGTTTCAGTGAAAGAGACTTTACATGAACCAGCATCCCAGTGAAACCCTACATCTAGGCAAAAAGGATCATTTTAAGATACTACTAATAAAACTATCAGCTTAGTTAGGAGTCAGCTGTTTTACAAGCATCTCCAGAACATAAACAACTGTTCAAGACATTGTTAGATAAGTGTTTTCAGAATTTGGATTTTTTTTTTCCCCCTTAACGTGAAATATGTATGACACATTGTATTTCAATGATCAGAGTGCTATAAATCAGTGCAACCAAATGCCTATCATCAGGATGCAATTTCATTACACAATTTGATTACAAACCTCATATGAATAAATTAAACCAAGGGAACTGAGGCTTGTCTGTCTCTAGTGCATAGTGTATTTTAAAGGTAAATGTCCAATATGCATGATTCTGTTATTATTTAACACTATTTTTGGTAATCACTCCAAAATGAATGTGGTAACAATGATGACTAATTTACTTTCATTTTGGGTGGACTTTTTACTCAAACTTGTTCTTTTGCCAGCTACACTTTTACACGTGCCTGCTGATTTTACATTGCCCTTCTTTAGATGTGACCTTATGAAAATCAGCAACAAAAAAAGCCTTCTTTGAGGAAAGTCTGATTTAATTAACTAATTACAAGGAGTGGGCAGTTGCGCACCAGTTTCATCATTCTGTCGTACTTGAGGCTGAAAACTGGCACAGAGTGGGCCAGGTGAAAACTCTTTATTACGCTTCCTGTTTATATTGGTAATGCGTTAAACAGAATTTTAATGTCTCCTGAGGTCACTTTTAGAGCCAAATTGTGGTTGTCCCTATCACAGGTGTACTGAGGAACTCTGTGCGGGCACAGAGCCTCTTTCTCTCCTGCCGGCCTCCGCCTCCCCATGCATAAATGTAAGACACAACGGATGAAGTCAAGTCCCACTGAAGTCAATAATCGTATTATTAGAGCAAGATTTCACTCCAAACCAATTCCTGCAGTTGGTTTGCAGCATGCTCGGTCCTCAGGCTTGCCGGGAGGGCAGGGAGGGAATGCACAACCCTACAGTCCTCGTGGGGCTTGCACACTACACACGTGTGCTCTCACCCGTTATTGCTATCTGGATCAAACAGAGTATTTTAAAAAATGTTTTCTTGGCACCCATATTTGTAAGACTCCATTAAAATGCTGTACATTATAGGAAGTGTTACATTAAGCGTGCTTGGACCATAACAACTTGCACAAATCTCCAACCGACCCCAGTTCTAAACTGTTACTCACCTGCTCTTGAATTACTTTGAAAAGAAAAAAAAAAAGATTCTCCTAGAGATGAGGTACCAGATAGCACAGCTAGCCTGGAAAAGCTGCTTGGAAAGCAAGCTCCCTTTGTGCTCCACCTTGGCATTCCCAAAAAGCAGAGAACAGCCAGGTCCTGCCCCACGGCAGGCTCCTCCTTGCAAACCAGTACCATATCTGCTACCAGTACTACCGATTCAGAAAGCCACATTCCAGTGGTTCATGCCACAGTTATGGCACGGGAGTCACTGGAAAAGGTTTACGAGGTGCTACAGGCTGAAATAAAACATCAAATAAACATATACATGCACAAATGGGAGCAGTGGTGATTCCCTGGCTGCAGCCTGAATAGGGCACTTAAAATACAGCCCTCTCTTGGCACGGGGCTTGGAGACCAAGGCTGCTGGCAACCAGGAGATGATGGTGGTCAAAGGCACAGTGCCCAGCAGCAGCCAAGCACCTCTTGGGCTTTCCCTTGTTGGGAGATGGACCTATTGTGTCTTGGTCTGTCACGTAGCCTACAGACCATCCTATCTCATGCCTCCTGGCACCTTTCCAATAACCCGAGATCCGCTTGTAATCTGGGAGATGAACAGTTTTAAACCAGCAGTATTTTTAACATGTATCTACCTTGGATATCAGTAATAATACTGGCAATAAAATGAAAAGGGTATACTTAAAATATTTTTCCCTTGTCGATTATTTCCCCTTTAAAATGAATATGATCTATTAAAAACCTGATGCTTGTTGAATTTAAAACACCTCAGAGGAAGACAGAAATTCCCAGCAGATACAGAAAAGTAGGGTTTGTCTGGAAATAAACGCAGCATAATAAATTAATAGTGACGGGGAAAATATGTCTGTATTGCATAAGGAAAAAATATTGCCTTAGCAACACAAAGCATTACTTTTTCTTGTAAAATAAGGCACAGCGCAGCAAGATCGTGTGATTTGTACCAACTTTTCATTACGTCAAAAGCAACATGTGTGCCTGGTATTACAGCATTTGGGTTGTCTCAATAACTGTTACTGTGCAGAGTGATATCTCACTTGATAGAGGTTAAGGCAGGAGTAGGAGTTAATGCTCTCCTAAAGCAATTTAATGCTCCTTAAAGAAATCTGTAAAGTGCACTGGGAAGAAAGAAAACCTCTTGATATTAAAAAAAAAAATCAAACCCATTTGCTGACCAAGAAATAATAACGCACTACTTGCACTAGAAACACCGGCTTCGAAAAAGTACAAAGCTTGTTATGAAAAGCAGCTTTAGAGAGTAAGGAAATTTTCATAACGGTGCCTGTTCTTTCAATAGAAGAACACCACAGATGTATGTAACATTGGTGCAAGGAGAAGTCGGCTCAAAAGCCAACACTCCTATGGACCTAGCAGTCCAGGCAGTGGCTCGCAGCAGGGGCTCCTGCTGGAGGTCACAGTTCTTTGGGGTTGAAAATGGTTGAGTTTGCCCGGCTTTGCACATGCTATTGAACAAGAGAGACTAGGCTAGGCAAACTGTGCCTAGACTGCAATCAGCTCTACAAAAAAACCTCTCACAATTTGTCCTTGCACACAGGCAACTTTTCACATGAATAGTTAGGGATCCCCTAATTTTGCTTCCTCAAATCCAATACCAGAGATCCCCGAATCCCACTGCACAACGGAAAACGTAGAAAGCGGATACACAGGCTCACTCATTTAAGACAGACCACCGAAATCCTTATTTCACTAGAAGCAGTGAAACGGCCACCAAGGCTGCCAGCACCAGGAGCTGCCCTGTACATCAGCACGACCTGCGGGAAGGACTCCCCTGCACCAGTCAGCCTTGACCTGCACCGAGAACGAAGCACTGGGGGGGTTTGAGGGAACCACCAGCTGTTTTGCACGGCCCTCACATAAGCTGCAGGCACAGGATGACGTCAGGCATCCGCTGTTTACTTCGTTCTCCAATTCCACAGCTGCAGGCAAATCCATCCTGGCCACACTGCTGAGCTGGTTGGGGATGGGGGATAAGAAAACACCGACGTTGCTCACCTACCTTGCAAATGTATCACTCCTCATACTCCTGAGGAAACAAACAACTGCTCTCGTTGCAGAAATCACATGGATTTTGAGAGGAAAAGAGAGAGGAGTCAAGCACATGACAGCAATAAGCTTTCTTCACATACTTAACCTGGTAACCAAGTCAACCATCCCCAGAGAAAGCTTAATGTCGGCCAAAGACGGCCAACTGGAAAGTTCAGCTGCTCTATCTTTGGACCATTAATGTTGGTTGTTAGGTCAAGGCTTCATCCAAAAACACCTACAGCTAAAATTCAACTACTTCTGCTAAAACTAAAAGTGGCATGTTAAGTGCACCCTGTGGGTTTGGGGAATGTTTCCCACTCAGACAAACAAAAAAAAAAAACCCCCATATTCTTTTTCCATACCCTGATCAGGAAAGAACAGTCACTCTGCTGATAACCAGTCTTCTTAATAATATACAGAATATTAACAGCTAGAGCACAATAAAAGTGAGCCCTGACATTTTAATTTATCCTCTGAAATATTTCTTCTTTCGGCAGAATGACTTGAAATTGTTAGAGGGCTAAAAAGTTTAGTTCTGGGAAAGCACTGCCCACGATGTTTTACTGGCTTCGTTTCAAATGAAAACAATTACTGTATAGTGAGGATGTTACCACACAGACATAACAACACCAGTAACTATTTTCGACTTCCAGTGTAAATTGAACCATTATGGGGTTTTAAATATGTCCTCATTAAATTTTAATGATCTGTTTTAAGGGATTTTTTTTTTTTCCCCTTATTAAAATTAAAACCAACTATGCTACACAGCTTTCTCAGAATATGGTGCATTACTGTAAGATTCAAATAAATCTGTGAATCATAGATTAGTTAATAAAGAGAAACGATCTGGGTTATTACAGGTGGGGCTGGTAGCAGTACTTGTTATTAATGTTGCCTAACCTTCACCAATAAAAGATGCTACTTCCCGTTCTTTAAAATGTTGCCAAATGCCATCTGACTGAAGAAAAAATGTCTAAGTTCAAAGGCACACACACCTGGTTGCTTTTTTCTTTTTTTTTTTTTTTCCTCCTTACTGATGACAGGAAAAATAGCAAAGAAAGGAAGGAAAAATCTCAGTTGAAGTGATTCAGCTGATTAAATAATGTATTTAATTTATATTAACTCCTACATAAACCTCAATAATTTTTTTCCATGGACTCAGGTTTTCCCTGTTTTACAGTAAGTATTTGAAAATTTTGCACACAGAAGGCTAGAGGATGTTTATGTGGACATTTCCATCAAATTTGCCTCAAACTTGCCCGATTCCTAAATTTTGGGTGGACTAAAAAGGAAAAAAAAAAAAAATCATGGTTTACATACATTCAAGAGAGACGTGTGAGACCTTTGCTGGTAAATTTTGTGAAGATTCACTTTAGAGTGAACACGCTCCAACCCATGATGGGACAGTGGTTTCCCTCCAGGCGCAGCTGCAGCCTTGAGCAGGCTGTGTGGTGTCATAGAATGGTTAGGGCTGGAAGGGACCTTCAAAGGTCATCTAGTCCAACCCCCCTGCAAGGAACAGGGATATCTCCAACTAGATCAGGTTGCTCAGGGCCTCGTCCAACCTGGCCTTGAACGTCTCCAGGGATGGAGCATCCACCACCTCTCTGGGCAACCTGTTCCAGTGTTCTACAACTCTCATGGTAAAAAATTTTTTCCTAATATCCAACCTGAATCTACCTCCCTCTATTTTAAAACCATTACCCCTTGTCCTATCACAACAGGCCCTCCCGAACAGCCTCTCCCCATCTTTCTTGTAGGCCCCCTTGAGGTACTGGAAGACCGCTATAAGGTCACCCCGGAGCCTCCTCTTTTCCAGGCTGAACAGCCCCAACTCTTTCAGCCTGTCCTCATAGGAAAGGTCCCCAGGTCCACGTAATCCCATCTTCCTCATGAGATTCACCTTTTTCCCCACAGTCTCATCTGCAGTTGCCCCAAGTTAAAAATACCACAAGACTGACTGGAAGGTGGAACAGATCATTTTTTTAAAAGCCTGGTGTGTTTTAACTCTGGTGTTATATTGCCACTTGTTAATGAGCAAACATTGTCCTGCAGCGTGCACTGCATGAAATACTGCAATGATGGTTTATATACAGCATTATATAGTGTCTCTGCTGGCATCCATATGTTTTCTCCTGATCCTATCACAAGTATACGTATTGCTCCTAAACGCAGACCTTGTCATAATTTAATTGTTCTCCCACACGTTGCCAGACAGAGCGGAAAACGAGAATCCTAAGGCCACAGCGTGCATTTAAAGTTACTTCTGAAAAGCACCTTAATCGGGTGTTGCATGAGAAGAACACGTTGCAAAAGCAGAATTTGTCAGAGCACTCCTGTAGTTGCGTTAGTTGAAGAGATATTGCGTTCAAACTACAATGGCATAGTAGGTCAGTCTCAAAAATATGACAACAATACATAATTTATCAATCTGGAAACTTTATACTTGAAAGAAGCCTTAGTCTAACCTTTCCATCACTCCAGTTGAATTGTAAGACCACCGCTGTAACAAGACCACTTAGAGAACCACCGGGGTGGCCTTGATAATAATGCACATATCATTGTTGAGGCACAGGAAACTAAACCAGATGGTTTTGCTGAGGAAAGCACTTTTTTTGGCCTTCTGAAGCCTAAAAACACTAATAGGTCAAACACAGAAGTGGTGAAAAAGAAAGCTAAAGGCAAATTTATGTAAATAAAACCCAATATTTTTTACAATTACATTCCCCTCACATAAAAAATGGCTGCAAGAAAATAAAGGAGGAAATCGTGCTGTAGTTCTGAGCTAGATCAGAATAGTTTTCTGAAAGGAAAAGGTCTAACAGCAACACTCACAATAGACACTGCTGCTGGAAATCAATACCATACGATATGCATCAGATAGAACACTTACATATTGTAATTAAAACCTTTGCTTTCCTCATTTTTATGTTTTAAACATGGGGAACATTCATGTCTATTTTAAGTATGTTCCTTCTTGTTCTATCTCTTATTAGCAACCATATCAAACTTAAAGAGAAAATAGCACATACATGCACCTCTTTAAACACATGAAATTTAAAATAATTTCCCCAAAATCATCTGTGCACAAATAGAAACACATATGCATTCACACACACATATAGGTACTGGCGAGGGGTGTGTGTAAGGGCACAGGTCTAAAGCATGTTTGAATTTTCCCACTTATGCTGTAGTTGTTTAGAATCACTTTATCTGCAAACTTCAGCATTTCAGGAGGTTTATAACCAAAAACCATAAAGAACTTGGTTTTCTTTAATGCAGACATCGTCTACACGAGTGAAATAAAGATGATATTGTGTTACTCTGCTGGGAATTGCAACTATTTCTAATAGTCAAGAAGTCTAATCTAAACTACAAGCGCTGAAAGAAATATATTATAAGCTCTTTTATTGTGCAGCCTTATTTAAAAAAAAGTAAGCGTTTATTTGGCATTGAAAAACGAAAATTTTTACTATCCCAGTTGTTCTAAAACATGTTCTCTCTTCATAAGGGAATGTTTGCCCATATTTTCAAAATCTGAAAGATATTTGAGAATCGTAGCTAGATTTTGCTGCTATAAAATCATGCCCTAACTGATATAAAACATCATTATTTAAATACCAACATTTTATCTGCTTGCAGAGGACAATGGAGAAGAAATGTACACTGAGGAGAGCTTCGCTATATGCTTATCGTTTGTAAGAGTTCATTTTTGTACCGTTGAGAAAATATTCCAAGTCTTCAGGCCAACTCTCAAGCTCTTAACTAAAACCAGAGTTAAGAGAGTGGTTTGTGAAGCCAGAAGTCAAGTGGGATGGACCACAGACACTGAGCCCAGGGAGCCTGACGGAGCCCACCTGGACAGCAACAGAGAAAGAAATCACAGTGGGGTCTCATGGGATCCTGTTTTGATTCTGCATGAGAGAGACGCTGGAGAGATGCCTGTTTTGTGGCCAGTGACACTGTCTACCACCTCACGTCAAGCCCTGAAATCTTTTGTAGGGTTGGAACATTTCAGTTGAGGTGGAATGTGTGCAAACAATTTACTGAAACAATATTAATTTACTCTGGCAATCCACTTATCTACCTCTTTTCCCTATAGACTCAACCAGAGGGAAGACAATCCTCTTCGCTTCTTGGACTTGCTGTTCCAGCACTCTCGTTGTGTCACAAAGAAGTGGCCCTATTGTAAATGCCGGTGCCTGGGGGTCAGTGGTGGGTGAACCTCACAAAACTTTCATTTGAGCCCCGTTATCAGTGCTGTGGCCGCTTACGTCAGCTGCACTGTATTCTGAGAACTGGATCAGTCTTTGCATGAATGACGGAACATGCTACCGTGGTCGAATGTGACTGCCTTTATCCTGGACACATCACACCTCCACATGTCCAAAGTATTTACATGAGGAAAGCAAAGAAAATTCTGCCAGTGGTAAGTACATACTTCCTTTGGGAAAATGTTGCTTTCTCAAAAAGTGTTTCAGTACAAGGCTTAGTTCTACATCTTCTAAAAAGGACAACAGATTTTTAAACTATTAGGAAGAAACTAAGGCGGAATAGTCATCGTCTCTGACACACACGCTTCTAGA